ATTTCATAAGTAATACAACCTTTGATAAATGATGGTATAAAGTATTTAATCTCATTACAATTTTTTTTTTGAAGAATTATTGATTAATTAAAATATATTAGGTTGACAATTTTGTATTTATTCATATTATACGTAACCATTATTTAAAATCATCAATTACTGTAAAAAAATTTAAAATCCATATTTGATTACAGAAATTCAAATATTATACATACATATATATATACTCAAGTTGAAAATCTATAATTAACATGTTACATAATTAATGATTTGTCTTAATAATATTATGAAATTTTAGAACTGACTAATCTTTTAAGATATTTTTTTGTTATTTTATATTTCTCAACTAGTTTATCAGGTAGTATTTACAAAACGTGATTAGTTAATTAAGTAACTTATCAACTGACATCTAGTTTGCCATACATAACGTTAAAACTAATATACTGTTAATAAATCATGTGTTCGTTAAACGGGTTTGTCATAAACTTGCAATGAAATTTTCAAATATTTGAAAGAAGAGGTTTCTATACACAATTTTATGAGAAAACGAAAATACATTAATTCCTTTGATGCTTTCAAATTGACAATTTAATACAACCGTAGTTATCACTGATATGTTCCAGTAATTAAGATGTGATTGCATTGTATATGAGTGAGGTTATGGATTCGGGCTCAAGCACCGCTTCTTTGCCACTTGGATGCATGCACCAATCTAAACCAGTGATGGACCTAGGGGGTTTTGTAGTGGCACGTGTCATTATTTCGTTCCTCCATCGTAGTGTAAAAAATTATAGGATCGTGAAAAGTAGCACCCTACCAATTTGTTGTGTGCCAGCGTATATATTTTGAAATTACAATGAGGACATAAGTTTTTCTTGGTAAAGTTGGTTTTTGCAAGACTTTTCTTCCATCCTAGACTCAAGTTTGAATTTGTTAGTGTCATTTTTTAATTTTTAGCTTTTAATTTAAATATGAGAGCACCCCTTCTCCCGAAGTTCGGTTTGGAGGTCCTAGTCAACATGTTACGAAGCTCCAGTCTGGCGGTTCCCTTGATGCTTCTAAGCCGCTTTGAATTGGCATGTGCGCCCCCTGCCCCCAGTGGCAATTTAGGCTGGAAAGAGGTGCTTTCTACCCCTCTCAAGTTTAGGTTGTGAATAAAGCAAGCCATAAAAGAGCTGAAACTATACCTCCCTTATCCCTCTAGACCTATTCACCTCACTAACCCCCCATCCTTTAAAATCAAAGAAAGAAGGTTTCAGCTTGTTGATTTGACGGAGAGAAAGACTCCGAAGATAGATAGTGAATGGGCCATCAGGAAGAGATCTCCTCTGGAGGCTAGCCCTCGAAAATGCTCCGCGCCTAGCTTCTTTTGTTGTTGAGGCCTTATTTATGTCAGAGTGATTCTCCAAAGAGTGAAAGTGGAACAAGAGTTGTCGTGATAGGTGTTGCATCTCCAAAACATAAACTTAAAATTTGATAAGACATGTTTAACCACCACTTGTAATTTTTATTTTATCCAAAACATAAATTTAAAATTGATAAGATGTTCCAATTATTTTATCATTTGTTTACAAATACAATATGAATATATCATGTCGTATTGTATGGAGACATGAGTAGCTATCATCAAAATAATACATACTTTTGAATTATGTAATTGTTATATAGCTTTTAAAGAATAATTTTACCTTCAATAATAGATAAATAAATAAATAAAAAATTTGTAATGAAGGATAAAATTTAAATTTAAATATTAATTGTAAGATAAACTAAAATAAGAATATATATATATATATATACTAGAAACGTACTCGCGCAATGCAGCGAGATACATCATGATTTTAATATTTCATTTTATTCTTTATCACAGTCGATGTTATAATATGGCTTTATGTGATTTTGAGAAAACGATAATGTTTTTATTTTTGAATAAAATATATGTTTGAAGATATCATAAAAATTTGACAAAAATATATCGATATTAGTATCAAATTAACTATTTGAAATTTCTCATTTTTTTGTAATTGTTTAATTCAATTTTTTTATAATTTAATTTATGTATAATAACGAAATAAATTTATATTTGGTTTAATAATATAATTTTTTATAAAGATAATAATTATTTATTTTGTTGGAACTCGATAATT